ATCTAATTAGTTTCAATCTTTTTTGTTCAATAATATTAAGTGATTATTATATTTTTATTTTTACGTTAATTTATCATAAAAATATATTAACTTAATAAATAAAATTTGCTAATTAGATGAATAGATTAAAATATTTTTGTACTTTATTTAAAAATAATATAATTTTTTCTTTGTTGAAAATTAGAAATTGGTGTGTGATTAAACTATTTTTTTTTCCTTTATTTAACTCTATCATTATTCATTTACTTTAATTAATCATCAATCACAAAAAATCTCTTTTTATTTTTTTATTAATGTTATTATAGATAAATATAAATATTGTCCATACATTTTTAATTTAAAAAATAAAAAATGACAATTATTATGGAATAAAAAGAATAATAAGTAAGAACAATGATAGGTAGGGTGAAATTTTGGGACAAATATTTGAGATTAATAACGTGACTTATGTTACATCATTAAATTTGTTAATGTATACAATATTATGAGTCCCTAAAAAACAAAAAGAGTTAATTATTAAATAATTTATTATTTATTTTTTAAGATTTTAGATAACAGGACTTATTGGTCTAAATTTTGATCGCATTTATTATTATTAAATAAATAACAAAAACATAACATTTAGTTCTTGAGCCAATCATTTAATTTGATAAAATTCATACTAAATAATACCTTTTTAATATAACATTTTGCTTAAAAGAAAACAGAAATATATTTTAATTAATACTCGTGTGCTGCCCACTCCTATCAAATCCTGGCGATGCACTGAAACGAAGTGGTCCTTTGCAGATAAACACTAACTACATCTCATAGTTTAATAGATTTAATTGTTTTATTAAATTTGTGATATATTAACAATCTGTTAGTTCAAGTTAGAGGAGTTCGATTTTTTTTTTTAAAGTAAATCTTTAATTTGACTTTTGTAAATGAAAAAATAAGAGTTAGAACTTAGAAGAGCTTCCTCTCTTATAAGGTCCAACTTGCTTTGAATCTTGAATCTAAATTAGTTGTAATTTAACGTGACTTTTGAATCGTGAGGGTAGTATAACCAAAAAATATTCCATTGAATATTGGGGTTAGAAAAAAAAAAAAATCCGTGATATGACTCTGGAAAAGTTAAGGAATTTTTATGAAAATTTTAAAGTAGAAGGATGACAACAACCTTTTTGCAAAGTTTAGGAATTTTTACAAAATTAAACTTTTAAAAAATTACGTCCCTTTCTTCAGTGAAAAGGGCAAAAATGCCAATGTACTTTTTGGGGTGCGACAAATTAATACCTGAACTCAAGTATGACATAAATATGCCCTTGTACTCATTAGTTGTGGCATTTTAGTCCTTTTCTAACTTTTTTTTGTCAGCTTTAACGGAAAATTAACTAAAAATTCACTTAATTTCAAGGGCTAAAAACCATTAAAAATAATAAAAACAGTTAAAAAAATGGTTAAAATGCCACAATTTGACGAGTATAGAGGCTTTTCACCTTAAACTTGAGTTCAAAGGCATTTCCAGCACACCTCAAAAAGTGAAGGAGCTTTTTTTTCCCCTTTCCACCCCTTTCCTCTTGCTTGAGTTCAGTGACTAATGAAAAGTGTCGATGTGCTAACATCTAAATCTAAAGATAAAAGTTATTGCTGGTATTACAAATTCAAGCAAAAATCTATGACCAACCCTCCACTTTATTGATTATGAAAGTATCAGCTCCTCAACTTACAATATGAAAGTTTTAGTTCCTTGTTTTTCAACCTAAATGAAAAAATCCAAAATGAATGACGATGTTGGGTGCTCATTAAACTTCCATTACCTATTGCCATGCAACACCAATGTGGTAAGTCCTGGCCATCATGACTACTACTATGTCATAGATATAGTTGTCTGCTTTTATTAGACTTGATGAAATTAGACTTAATCTAAAAATTTGACCTAACCTAAACCCATTCACCATGAGTAGAGTCATGGGTTTAAGCCTCCAAAGCATCAATCTGGAATCCGATATAACTCAGACTAAAAATTACTCAGACTTGATTGAGTTAAGTCAGAATTGAGTCAAGTCAACCCAAAGTGATCCAATTAAAGTTAATTAATTATTTTAAATTTAAAATTTTGATTAATCATACTTTTAATTTTAATTTTTAAGTATAAAATAAAGTTAAATGTTATAAAATAATTATTATTTATTATATTATAAGTGTTAATATTAATTTAAAGATTTTTTCAACTAAATAATTATTATTTATTATATTATAAGTGTTAATATTAATTTAAAGA